ATGCATCCTGTGTTACCGTAAAAAGTGTGTGCGCAGACAAGCATGTGGTCATAGTGAGTGAGTGAAGGCTGTGAATGTGTGTACTATGGAGAGGAGAGGAGGGTGTATTTTTTCTCTCCTCTTTCTTCCTCCCTCTCTCAATGTCAGTCTTATATCCCACCCCTCTATTTTCCATTTTTACATGCAGCTCCAGATGTGAAGGCAGTGAAATATTAAATTACAGAAATGGGCTTGTTTCTGCACTTTGGCTCTATCAAAAACAACCCAGCCTCTGAGTTCTCCTGACCTGACACACACACACACACACACACACACACACACACACACACACACACACACACACACTCTTTCTCACACTTTGATAATCACATTTCAAACTGTGTATGACCGTACACTGCAGGTGAAAGAAGCAAAGTTTCAGTGGTTTCGTTGTGTGCTCTAAATATATATATATTTTTTTTCATTTTAGAGTACACACTGCATCAGAGTCAAGCAGCAATCACCACAGCTGGATCTTGCAAAAGTGCCTTGAGGTGTAGTACCTGTAAACACCACTAGATGCTGGCTCCAAGAAAACCTTCGCTATACTGACGTCAACAGGTGACTTAGTTGAAACATGAACGTTGTTACTGGGTTCATGTTTATTTTTGTGTTGCAGGGCATGCAAATGTCAGTAGCTGATAAATAAATGAATAGGACCCAAAGTCTTTCAAAGCAATTCCAATTAAATGGTATGAATGAAAAATAGTGTTTTTCACAGCAGACATGATGACTAGAAAGAAAAAGCACAGATGTTACAAATGCTATTAATGATGACAGTGAGCCCCGAAACTGAAGCAGCTAAATGGAATTCAGCCATCATTAATATTATTATTTACGCTTTTCCTTTTCCTACTGTGACATGTCCTCTATAAAAAAGTCTAATTGTGATTATTATTGTATGTAAATTTGGATGGTGTGTTTGCTTTATTGTTTATCTTTGATTATCACACTCACTTATGGTGGTTGTCATTTGCTTTACTTACTTGAGCTTCACTTGGCTCCACACCATTGCCCAAATCTGGTAAACCTAGAACCAGAAACATATGAATGTAAGCTGCTTAGCGAAATCACAAGAAATCCTGTTACTCTGAAGCCAATATAGCACTGTGAAGAAAATATAACCTTGTGTAAGGAACCTATTTTGTTTATGTTTTCTCTTCATGCTTAGTACAGTACTTTTTAGTTATCAGTTTTCAACTGTTACTTACCGTGGCAGCTATTCAACTAAAGACATTTTTGCCTGCTCTAACTTAATTCACAAACAAATCAAGCCGAGAGATGCTCGCGTCACGTTGCACAGTTTGGTTGGTGAAAATGGATGAAAACCAGTCACATCAGGTCAGTTGAGTTCAGTTTGAAAGATCATTATCAAAGCAAGAAAAACAGTTATTCTAGAACTGGAATGACTCTATTGAACATAATTCTCTTAATGTCATAGTGGCATTCCAGAATGCACACACAGAGGATGGTTTATATAATGAATATATATCAATATCAGCCAGCACAGCCACAACAATTATACTGTAGGAATTGTTTGGTTATTATTGATGCACCTAAACGGAATTCTAGTAGTGTTGTTTTTGTTATTCTTGCCACAGTGTGCTCATCAATACAAAAAACACGACAAGTGTTAAAGGTAAGCAATAGACTTCGACATTCATAATGCCTAATAGTGCCTACAGTTAGATTATTAGATTTAAAATTAAATGTAAATATGAGACTGCAAACAACCAGTACTAAAAATAGCTAAAATAAAGCTAAAATATGATTTCATGTGTGGTCCTTGTCTGAGAAAAAGTAAGATAACAGATCTTTAGGTCAAGGTAGGTTAAAAACATAAATACAAACATAAGATTGGTTATTTAACAACCCTTTATAAATAGTTTAAAAACCAGGGAATTGCAGCGGCGTGTAAGAATATATTTTTACCCACGAACCAACTGAATCTAAAATGATTGCTGTTTCTTTAAAGGTGAGTTCAAATGAGGAATTCTTCACATTTTGAGTTATATATTCAGTAATGACATCCAGATATGTGTCAATAATAGTGTGGCCATCCAAGAAAGAACTCAATCTTTCCCTCTGCTTCATATCACATCTCCTGATTATACAGCAGACAACACACTGGTATCACAGACTATAGCACTACTAGCATTACAGTGTTACAACATCCTCAAAAATCTACTCTCCCCTTTGCACACATTGTTCTTAAAGTGTAGCCCCCTGCTCACCTCCTCCATAAACCCTGAGCTATCCCGGGGATACACATGACTTACTGATTGAGTGTAGACAACCTGATAGCAGTTTAGGATCACAGTAGAGTTAACACACTGTCAAATGCCATGCAATGAGCACCTCAACAGGGGACAGATGAGAGTAACATGTGAGCGTATGGTGGGCATGTGTATGTCTGTGCATAGCATATGAGAGGGGTGAGTGTGAAATGAGTGTGTATCTTGTGTGTATGAGAGTGTATGTATGAGTGAAGTGTGTGTATACGTCTGTTTGTGTGTGTGTGAGGGCTACCCTGCTCAGGGCATTGACTGAATTGTTTCCACATGTGTCTTAACGCAGAGTTCTGGGCGGGTTTGGAGGACAAGGGAAGAGAGGGGGCTGCTATAGTTGGTGGGGGGGGGTCAGGTTTCATGGCACCATGCAGCACATCTGGGCTGCAAGAGCAGAATTAGATTTCCCACGACTGAAAACACATAGCCTACACACACTAACATGCGTCTGCACACACCTTGATAAACCACGATCGGTACACAAACATCTGTGATGTGTAAGAAGGGAGCATGTGCGCATCCACTACAACAAACATAGAACATAACACATTGTACAACCCGCTAAACAGTTCCCCATTTGTGTTATGCAAGTGCTGCGTATTGTATCACGCTCAGTTGCTTTTTAACCCCGGTCTTTCTTATCCTTAACTCACACACACTCTCATGCATGCCCACACACACACACACACACACACACACACACACACACACACACACACACACACACACACACTCACTCACTCAAACACCACTTCTTCCCTGGCACAGCTGTCCCAAATGCTGCGGGCACACGGGCGTTTCACTGGCACGACACATGGAAGGAAAATCTGAATGTGTTCTCACTAATCATTCCCCTATTCCACCCAGAGAGAGAGAGAGAGAGAGAGAGAGAGATGTGGATGTCTAAAGGATGAGGACGGATGAGTGCAGGGACTGGATGACCTGTATAGCAGGTGTTGAAAGGTGAGGAGGCAGGAGACAATGTGAGCGTAAGAGTGAAAACGCGAGAAGAAAGAGCGAGTGACAGAATGGGATAAAAGCGGGTTAGAGGTGAATGGAGAGGGAAAGATGGTGGGAGAGAGAGAGAAAGACAGACTGAGATGGGATAAATGGGGGCATGCCAGTTCCATAAATGTTTAATTGCCAGCAGGTTTATTCATGTTAAGAAAAAGAGAGAAGAAAAAAGAGAGAGCTTAAACAGTACAAAATCTGTCTAGAGCCCCCAAATCTAATTTACACAACAAACAGAGAGGAGAGAAGAGAAGGCAAAAAAACGGAGGGGAAGAGAAGAGGGGGAGTGAAAGAGAAAAGGAGAGGGAGAAAAATGCTAATTGGCTACAGTTGGGCATGTCTGGCCTGAGATGAAAGAGGAAGAGGACAGAGAATGAGGGAGCAGGAGGGAGGGATGAGAGTGCAAAGAGAGAAGTGAAGAAGACAAGGAAGAGTGTGGACTACAGGGATGGATAGATGGATGGATGGATGGATTGATGGGAACACACATGAGTGATCAACATCTGTAGGGTATATCACATAATGTGTCCCAGCCATTACCGCTTCTTTTTTTTTTCCTTTTTTTTTTCTCCCACAACTGTTACTCAAAGCCCTTTGTTTTTCTTTCCCAAAACCAAGTGAATGAATGAATGAATGAAAGTAAGGCTAAAAGATCATAATTCCTTTTTCATTCACATAAATAATAGAAGAGAAACATTATGAGTGTTTAGACTTAATCACCACCTGTCATATTCACTGCTGTTCTTAAAGCTGTTATCCCTCTCAGTACATGAAAGACTCTTTAAAAATTACTTTATAAAAAAAGGGGGAAACCCAATTCAAATGTCAGTCATGCGATGGGGGTCACACATGATTGACATCTGGTCGGCAGCTACTGTTCATTGGGCTAACTGTTGAAATGGATGAGAGGAGAGGATGGGCTGCACGGTGTTGCATTTCACTATTCCAGTCTTATTTACACTGCAGCAGTGTTTCTCCATCTGTAGATTCATAGACTTTGGAATCCACAAATGAGTCAGATTGGACTTTCCCAGCTGTGCAGAGGTTTGGCGTTGTCTGCTGTACTGGTGCAGGGATACTGGAACTGTTTTGACTTGGCGCGTCCCTTCCTGAATTGAAACAACTTATAACCTCAACTGCTGCAGAAAAAGGCTTAAAATTCCCTAGCGCAAAGTGTAACTTGTACTCCCTCTGTTTATAGCAGGACCCTCTCCCCCTCTACCTCACCCCATTTTGTCTCTCACTCTGTATATCTCTCCCATTCTGTCTCTCATCTCCTGTTCAATCACATTTTACACCTCCTCCTCCCTGCCACCCCTGTTTTCACTTAAGCTTATTCCTGTATTACCCCAAATCCCCCCACAAGCCGCGTGTGGAGAGCCGAGCCCAAATGTCACAAAGAAAACATGATACCAACTTAATAGGTCAGTATTGTCCAGAGAAAGGTCAGAGTGTTCCTTGGGCTCGGCCAGCCTTTTGAACCCAGGCTGGATGAGGACGTGTGTGTTGTGGCTGAACCAAGGTAGGGACATTCTTAAAAAGTCTCTCTCCCTGTCTTTCTCCCTCTGTAACGCAGACCTATGTCTCCAGGCTGATACAGCATCTGTGCTTTGTTAAACATATTACTGTTACGCAAGAATCTGGGGCAAAGAACAACAACACTTGCTAAATATTTTGTTTATTGAAGTTAAAAATGCATTCAATTGCGGTCATGAATCCTGCTTGAGATCCCTTCACTCTGATTAATCATGAAAACAAAGCAGCCTTTAAAAGGAAAATAAACCCAAGGCAGGCCACTGGTAGAGAAAGTGCCTTCGGTGTGTACCTGAGTAGGTTTGGACTTCGGCCAGAACCGGGCCAGGGAAGCAGGTCAGGGGGTGCTGTTCTGCGGGAGATCTGTTTGGAGTCTGCTCTGTGTGTGTTTTTGTGTTTAGCGCGGTTTAGTGAGTCTCCGATTTACAAACATTTAAGGCCCCGCTGCTGCGCTGTTTCATTTTTCATTTAGTCGCTGCCCAAGGCCATGTCCCAGATTGGAGACTGCTACACAGCACACCGCTGCGCTCTGCACCGAGCCGCTCCCCTCCTCATCGTCTGGTCTGGTCTGAGGAGATGAGGACCTGCCGGTGACCCCATAGCCTGCAACACACACACTCACATTCTTGCACATTTCTATATGCACGCTCACACACACATAAACCTAAAGTGGAAAGCAGACATATTTCTGCTCGTGCACAGAAACACACACAAGTGGGCCAAGAAAACACAGACAGATAGGCAGACAGAACCCACACATGTAGACAACATGCGGAACAAGCCGTCTAATTCCACTAATGCGAAAAAATCTGCAGAGACAGACAGGTATGACACACAAACACAAAGAGAGACATTACACACACTCTAGTGCACAGTTGTTCAGGAAGGTTTAACTCTAACACACATGCAGACAGTTACACATACACTGAAACACCTGATAACCAGTCACATGCATACTGTATAGTCTTGCATACACACACAGATGCATAACCATCACATTTGAAACCTACTCGCACCAAAACAGAAATACGTACACACAGAAACACACACATATACAGTAGGTACAAGTGTGTGCACACAAACACACACCTGTGGTTTTGGGCCAGCACACACAGAACTCTTTAGTCTTTGAGCTGTCTGTCCCACTTAAAGTGAGCGCTGCTTGTGAAGAGGACCTGACAGACAGAGAAAACACACACGCACACACACTGCGATGAGTACACTTCTGGAGCAGAAGACCTGACTAAGCTGAATTTCCCCCTGCTCCCCTTTCCTATTTTCCATCTGCCTCAGCGTAGGAGAACCTGTGTGGGGAAAAATAATGCCCACCATACACACGCCACGATTCACTTTCTCTGCTCTTACTGTGACACTCCTTTAAACACATACACACACAGACACACACACAAATCCACTCCGTCAATCTCTACAGTTTCCCTCTTCTTTATATTCACTGATTTCTTTCCATGCAGCCTCTCAGTATTCTGTCTTCACTCGTTCTCCCAATTTCCTCAACTCCAGCCTTATCTCTCTCCGGTACCCTATCTCCTCCATCAATCCTCCTCCCTCCATCCCTTTGTCGTTTCTGTGGTGCTGTGTGGTTGACCAACAGCCAGGGAGAGACAAGTGCAGGAGTGCCGGCCAAACTTGCCTGCCTCTCCGCCCAAATTACATGGGACAGTCCCAATTACCCTGTGGCCAACCAAAGCATTTCCTGGGTTAGCGCTGGTGACGCGTGCCCCCCCTTTGCTGTGGTTACAGGGGGTGTCATTAGATGCTTGTTTTACTGCAACCCCAAGAACGTGCCCGCCGGCCGCATCCACGCCACGGGAAGCACGACTGCAATGTTCCAATAACTCTGCCGAGCCTGATGGATGACAAATGGAAGAACGTTAGGGGTAATGCTGGAGCTTGTAGTAAATTCCTGCTGGCCAAGAGGGAGATGCAAAGAGAACATTGCAGGAAAAATAAGAAATTCTAGACAAGCTGCTTTGACTTCTGGGAAGCAGATAAGTGTAAGCTGTAATGTTTTGTGGAATTCAAAACACTGGCATTAAATAAAGAAAGCTTTTTAGACAGATTATCTCTGATACTATGCACGGTGTAAGGCACTGATATATTCTGAAAGGTGTGGTTTTCACAGCAATGCTGGACATTTGGCGAAACAGGTTGCAATAGATAATACAGCTGTCAGTGATACAAATTATAGGATTGAGAAGGAGGCAGACGGATGTTAAAGACAGTGTAAAAAGGAGGAAAAGTTATGTTTTTGATTTTAATGCATAAATACAGTAGGTGTTCATGGATACTTAAATGTAAGTGCATGTACATTAGTGAGGGTGCATGAGACATCTGGTGGAAAATAACTAAGACATAACTATTTATCTAGCAGCTTACTTAAGTAAAATGTTGACATTGCTTGAGTACTCCATGTTACTTTATACTTCTACTCCGCTGTTCCTTAGAAGACAATATTATACTTTTTACTCATCTACATTTATTTGACATTGACATTGCATATTATATTTTTATATACAAGCTTATAAAATATGATGGATTGTTATAGACTTAAATGGACCTGTACTTGTATAGCGCCTTTCTCGTCTTCCAACCACTCAAAGCGCTTTTACACTACATGCCACATTTGCACTTTCACACATATTCACACAGTGATGGCAAAGCCCAGAAACTAACTCATTCATACACATTCACAGCATCGGGAGCAATTTGGAGTTCAGTATCTTGCTCAAGGATACTTTGACATGTGGCAGGAGGAGCCGGGGATCGAACCAACAACCTTCCGATTAGGTGACAACCCGCTCTGCCTCTGCACCACAGTCGCCCCAAACAGCCCAAACATAGATCAAATTAGCTCCACCTCAATGAGCTAAAGCATTAAAACGCTGCTTACATGTTAGTTAATTAGAAATAATGATCCAATAATGGCATATATTTAATACTTGAAAAGGAAATTTGCTAATAGGACTTATGTTTTTTTTACTTAGAGTGTAGAAATGTATCTTGTACTGGAGTATTTTAACATTGTAGTGTTACTTAAAGATTTGAGCACTTCTTCCACCACCATTGCACGTGACACAGCACAGACGGTCTACAGTATGTCAGAGCAAAAATTGAAAACATAAACCAAATTTCCATTTTTTTTTTAAAAAGTAGAACCAAACAAAGGAGGGTGAGAGTAGGGGGAAGGACAGAAAAAGAGATGGATCTCATGGAGGAAAGTAGGCAAATGGAGAAGGGAAAGAGTAAGCGACTGACGCACAGAGCGGGATGATGGTTTGGAGGGGGTGTCTGGCGAGAGGCAGAGTGACGTAATGGATGAGAGGAGAGAGGGATTAGCAGGGTGACAGAGATGAAGGGATCCTCTCTGGTGTCACCTGTCCTCACTCTCACTCTGTCCATCATTCATCGGGAGCATCATGGGGCTCCGGAGTGTGTGTCAGCTGTGCATGCCAGCTGTGCGCAAGTGTACGTGTGTGTAATCAGTTTGTTTGCATACATTTTTTGTTTGTTTATGCACGTGTGTATTGTATGTATTAATATTCCCTCTGTCAATCTGTCAATATTAATGTGCACCATGTGTCTGTGTACAAAGTGTCTGTTTTACGTATGAAGTGTGTGTGTTTTGTATGTGTGTAGTGTGCGTCTACATGCAATGTGTCTACTTCTAGTTGCCCATCTGGTGCTGCTATGCTGTGCTGCTCAGCCAGCTCTCTAATAGCTCCAATAAGTCTGTGGTTTGCTGCCTCATACACACATGGACACATACACACACATACACAGATATGTACACACTGGCGCATGAATACACACACATACTTACACAGTTAACACAAACCTTTACACACATGCTCTCTCGCTGTTATTCTTCTTCCAAGAGAAAGAGGCCGAAAAATGACCATTTATTTACTTTGAGCTCTGGGGCTGCGGCAACACAGCCTGCCAGTACCAGCAAAAAAAAGAAAGAAAGAGTCAAAGAGCGAAACAGAGGAGGGAGTGGGAAGGCAAAAGGTAGGCGAACAACAGAAGAGGACAGAGGGAGGAGCGGTGGACGAACAAGAAAAGAATGAGCCAGAAGGAGGTTGAGAGAGGGGGAGAGAGTTTGCTGGTGGATGTGGAGTAGCGAGCTGTGGTTTGGTCCGGTGCAGCGTTTGGTTGTGTTACAGTCTGGCTGTGGCTTGTGTGGGTTGGGCTGAAACGAGCAGGGAAACAAACCCGGGCAAGAAAGTAGCTGAATTCACTTGGAGCACTTGAAAAAACACATTACAAGTGCTTAATAAACGTATCTTCCAAGCAATTTTCATCCACATTGAGGTTGTGCAAGTGTCTGATGAGACAAATTAAAGTTTGCCTCATACATTTCAAATATTTTGAAATAGCCTTATTTATGTTTGTCCAGGTCTGCTGGAGGGAGCACTCTGCCCTGCCCAGTCTGCTCCTGGCTCGGCCGTAGGTGCTCCGTTCAGTAGCAGAGTGTCTTTCCAGCTAGCAGGTCCACACTGGGTCCAGTTCCAACAAACTGAGAACTTATTTACATTCGGGGGGAAAAATATGCCTTTTCAAATATGCCTTACAAGTAACTTCTAGCCAGAGAAATATTTCTACACATGTAAACAGGACAAATTGTCAACTTAACTTTGACGTGATTCCCCTGGATGTGGTGGATTACGCTCAGATTCAAAGCCAGGTTGTTCCAGTTTATCCAACAAAACAGGTCTCTCTTCAACTAGATGTTTATTTGAATCCCCTTGGGAAACAGCAGGTGTTGCCAGTGTACACAAGCCTAACGTGGTTTGGGGAGTTTACTTTCGAGTGCAGACTACAGGTGCTTGTAGGAGTGCGTGCTGCACTGCTCAGAAGATAAGATGCTGAGATGGGAGGAGAACATGTGTCCCACAACCCCTAAGCAATATGGTCCGAGTCAGCACGGAGATACAGACAACCAGATTGACTGACTGACACACACACACATATACACATACACATACACAGAGAGTGTCTGTCTACTCCAAAGGCCAAGGTTGCCACAGTTACCTGCTCTCTGTTTCTGTTCCCTCTTCCGCTCTTTTTCATCCCTCTCTCTCCCTCCCTCGTCTTCTGTTAATCTGTTCCAGAGCATTGTGATCACATGGAAAAAAACATAGCAAGTGCACATATTTCCCCCTTAGCCAAGAGTGAAAAAAACACACACACAGGGGTGGGGGTGTGTGTGTGTGTGTGTGTGTGTGTGTGTGGGGGGGGTGTATGATGGGGAGAAGAAAAAAAAAGCGAAATAAACTGTTTATTCAAAGGCAGCGCTGAGCCCTTTTGTTGTGGTGGGGACCTGTCTTTTATTAGCAGCCTGAAAAGCCTTCAAAGGCTGGAAAGACAGAGGACATGCCAACAGACGAGTGTATACAAGGCAGAGGAGAGAGGAGGGGAACCGGGGAGATGGGAGAGAAAGGGGGGACGGTGAAGGGGACAGGGCAAAAAGGTTTAGAAGGAGGCAAACGAATGAAGTCTGGGGACATGAATGGGTAGAAAGGTCTCTGAGGGGGGCGGTGGAGGAGGTGATGGAGGGTTGAGAACTTGAGATTGTGCCACTGGCAGTGAGGACACAGAGCAAAGGCCAACGCAGAAGGAAAAAGGGGGTGCTGGGACAATTCCAGATGGACCATAATATGGGGAAACTGTTCAGAACTGTTCTCATATGTTTGCAGCTTTTTACACTGGCAGGACTTTCACAGAGTCTTGTAACTGATTTTGTCAGTGTGTGTGCATATGTGGCTGTTGGGGAGGTTAAGAGGAGAATGATGTTTTATATCAGATCTTGATAGTTTAAAAAAAAGTTCTGGCAAAGATTATTTGGTGTGTGTGTGTGTGTGTGTGTGTGTGTGTGTGTGTGTGTGTGTGTGTATACCTAAATCTGCACATAGTTGCATGTGTGAGTGTTTGTCAGCGTGCTGTGTGGTAGGTGTTTGTGTGCATAAACTTACATGTGTGAGGGAGATGGATGGATTTGGGGATAGCTTGGAGAGGAGACATTCCCTCATTGCGTAACTTCATCTCTCTTATCTCTGCTCTCAAAGCAAACTGTCAATGCTGCGTTCCCATCTCTCCCTCTCTCTCTCTCTCTCTCTCTCTCTCTCTCTCTCTCTCTCTCTCTCTCTCTCCTTCCCTCTCTTTCTCTCTCTCTTTCTGGATCAAGTAATCAGGGGCACAACCTTTTTGCTTTCCTCCCCACTCATCCTGCTTTCCATCTCATCTACTGAGTATTCAAGCTGTTTGTCTACTTTAGAAAAGTGCTGTTAACGTGATGTGGCCACTATGATCCAACCTTAAAACACTGTGTGTGTGTGTGTGTGTGTGTGTGTGTGTGTGTGTGTGTGTGTGTGTGTGTGTGTGCGTGCGTGCGTGCGTGCGTGCGTGCGTGCGTGCGTGCACATGTGTTCAAAAAATATGCTGATGGTATGAACCATATGTGTACATATGTGCATAATGCATGCAATCTATGTTAGTGTTTGCGTGTTGTGTGTATGCATGCGCTCGCCTGCGCACGGTGACCGCTCTTGAAGCCGAATCAAAGTGCTCTGCTTTCAATAAGAGTCACAATCAGCAAAGTGGCAGCAAGCAATGACATCACTGCAGCTGGGTCCCCAGCTGGAGCACAGAAAGGACTTTGGCAAGTGTGTGTGTGTGTTGTGTGTGTGTGTGTGTGTGTGTGTGTGTGTGAGAGAGTGAGTGAGTGTGTGTGGACGTATGTGTATAACAGAGTCAAAGACCAGTGTATGCATAGTTTATTTGTAATATGCATATTTCATGCAATTCGTAAACTCTGTGGCGGAGCAAAATGCAAGCAGGTCTGTGCCAATGTAGAACCTTTCTTCGAAGCGAAACACTGTGTGTGTGTGTGTGTGTGTGTGTGTGTGTGTGTGTGTGTGTATGGTGGCTGAGAGCATAAGTGAGATTTCCAACCTCAGTCGTCCCCATCAGTCTCTCTGCACATTCTGTGCCTTGTTTCTATTGGAGCAGACAGTGCTGCGGTGAGAAAAACAACAGGAATTTCATCTGTCATTGATTAAGCCCATTAACGGTGGTGTCTGATGTCTTTTACACTCATTCCACACACACCGACATGCAGCTGCACTCACCAACACACAAAGTTATACACACATACCCTGACTCCCCCCACACTGCACCGCTACCAAGACTACCATACAGTAACGGACACACCATGGAATATCATCAAGATCCACACCATTACTGTGTGTGTGTGTGTGTGTGTGTGTGTGTGTGTGTGTGTGTGTGTGTGTGTGTGTGTGTGTGTGTGTGCATGTGTGCGTGTGTGTGTGTGTGTGTGTGTGTGTGTGTGTGTGTGCGTGCGTGTGTGTGTGTGTGTGTGTGCGTGTAGGTGTGTGTGTGTGTGTGTGTGTGTGTGTGTGTGTGTGTGTGTGTCTGTGTCTGTGTGTATGTGTGTGTGTGTGTGTGTGTATGTCTGTGTAGGTGTGTGTGTGTGTGTGTGTGTCTGTGTGTGTGTGTGTCTGTGTGTATGTATGTGCGTGTAGGTGCGTGTGTGTGTGTGTGTGTGTGTGTGTGTGTGTGTATGTGTGTGTTTGTGTTGGGTGTGAATGGATTTTCACACGCTAAGTCATGCAAGCCGGAAAATACTGATCATAAACTTCCAACCAGCATGAGCAACCAACAACCCCACAGAGAGCCAACACACACACACACACACACACAAACAAACCATGCTCAGTAGCTTGTGCGTGGACGCGATTTACACACATACACACACACACACGTACACACTGTAAACTGCACTCATATGAACAAACCATGCTTTCAAACACACACACACACAGTCACTGAAAACACACTGCTACTGAGCATACCGCGCAACCAGACACTCCAAACTCACTAAACAAATGTCTGATGTTGTCACTCTGGTATTTACCACTCCACCACTGTCATTTTATAAGCCAGCCTCACTACTTTGAAAGTGCAAGCATTGTGATTTTAGCTGTGTGCTGAAAGTACAGCTCACATAATGTGACAGTTATTGGTTGAAAACAGAGTTGAAGTGCTACAATTCCACTACGTCGACATGGTTTACGTCTCACTGCAGAATGAAAACAAAGACGATTAGTGATCTACATGAACACCTGAAGTGTTGACGTAGATATTGTGGTTTTTTGGTCCGTTCAGTGCGGTTTCTATACAGCCCCAAAGTCAGTGTCACGTATATACTGACAACACCTCCCTGCAACCTCTCTCTGCCAAACAAGTATGGGGTTACAGAACAAATCTTAAGTCAAGGTCTGCTTACTAGATTCTTTGTAGAGCTTTCAACCACATCTCATGGGCTCGCTCAGCAGATGAAGATGGCTTCAGTCTTTAGGTGGTTGTATAAAGTATGAGGAGGGTCATTGTTCAGATATGGTCTTTGTCACTTATTGGCATCTACATGTCAACTGTCATGTTACTCAATCCACTGAGAAGATGGGATTGAAAGCTCAAGAAAAAGCTGGTAAATGGACCTTGAGTTAAGTATTTTTTGTTAAATGACTAGTTCCAAGTCCGGAATTAACTTTGCTGTTGGGGGATTTTTATATACGTTACGTGTCTAAATTACATTAGGGCTTAAAGTTATGCATAATTAAGGACATGGCCGCTTTGAGTGGCAGGTGGATGCTGTCACAGGCGGCTGTTTTTAGTAACCAGGCTTCATTCAGTCCACCTCAGCTCTGCCCACGCTCCACGTCTTTGCCCATTTTTGGATTAGACGGGAGCCGTCGGAGTCAGGACTTGCCAAGATGGCAATGGCCAGAGCCGACCACACTGAGCTTCTGAACTTTTCAGAAACCTATGGGTGACGTCAGAGAAAGCCCATTTTTAATTATAATGTCTATAAAACTTCCCACAGGTGTTCAGTTGTGAACTATGAAGGCCATAGCATATGATTCACATCATTTTCATGCTCATTAAACCATTCAGTGACCCCTTGTGCTCTTTGTAGAAGCATCTGCATCTGTTATGTTTCTCCATTCAGGTTTCTTTAACTTGTCACCCGTCTGTGTGTGGAAAATGTCAATTATCAGCTTCATAGGAATGTTCATACAACTTTGAGGCTTGAGTAAAGGAGTAGCATCTTAATTGCTGTGCAGCATTTGAGAATGTGTGGGAATATTTTTTTGGCTATAAGATAATTTAGCTGTGTATAATATGAGCTTGTTCTTTTCCATTTTCAGTGTTTTATCCAGTATGTAGTTGTTTGGGTATTTATAGTCTCTGAAGTTTCCTTTCACTTCGGTCAGCACAGTTCTCACAAGATCATTTGGGTCCAAAATAGTTCCCTTATAATAAAAATAATTTTCCTCCGACCAAGCTAAATACAGGCTATTGAGCTGAAGAGAATAATTTAACCAAATGGTTGTCTACCAGCTGTCACTACTTGATTCATTCTTTTTTTTTATTGCAGAAGCAAATGGAAGTTATGAATTACAAGATATAAAAATAGAGCTTTCAAAATTCATGAATTTATCGTGACTGCAAACCGTTTCAAAGCCCAAAAAATTATTATCTGCATCCCAAAATTAATATTGGCAAAGCTCTTTGCAAGAGCTCCAGTTAGTCATACTTTCATCAGTAGAAAAGAATAGAAAAGAACAGGGTAAAAACAGAGCTGAACAGAAAGCTTACAGCAGAACAGGAGAGGAGAGTGAAGCCAACAGCGGAGACCTGGGGGAACAGAGCAGTGATGAGGGACGGCTACCAGAGACACCCAGCAACTCACACAGCAACCCACACACACCAGTGCACATGGGCCATAAAAAATACACGATTATACACATAGATACACAGGCCAGGAAAGGGCACACGAGTGCACACACACACACACACGCACACACACACCAGGTCATGCTCGCAAGTACCTGCACACATCCCCACATACAACACACCTGTAGCGCACATGCATACACGTCTTTTTTTCCAGTACACATTGAACACATTAACTCGTGTTTGTTATCATGAATCCTTTCTTATCTGCGTTGTTTCCTCTCATCTTCCATCTCTGTCCTTCTTCTTCTATCAAATTCCAGAGGTCCATCACATTCCATATTTCCATCACAGGAGACAGCCCCACGGCCCTGCCGCTCTCCAGAAGTCCACAGCTCTGTCCAACACACCAGTCTGACTCCAGAATCCTGTCATGTGCTATAATTTAGCTCTTTCCAGAACACTTTACTTTCCCTCTGACTGTCACTTCCCATATATCACTGTCACTCAGCTCATCTGTCGGGGGTCTAGGAAAATGGCTAAGGGTGACTGGGCAGAGATGTCCTCAGATTCCTGTCTGAATTTTTCTTGGTTGTTTCCTCTGCTCATAACACACACACATACAGGCACACACAGACACACACATCTAACTTAAGTCTATATGATAAAGGGCAGAGGGGAAAGGCAGGTGGGTCTACATGGAGTGAGGTTGAAGAGAGGAAGGGAGAAAGTGATAGAAGCCAACAGAGAGTGTGAGTGAGTGGGAAAGGGCGTGAGAGAAGGAGAAAGAATGAGAATAAAACAACAGGCAAAGTGGGAGAGAAAAGGAGAGGGAGAAAGCCTCCGGAGTGCTTTTTTGCTCCAACGGGACAAAAGGTTACAGCATGACGGGGGTAGGTGTCAGGTGATGTGTGACAAGTCCAAATTAAAGATGACATAATGGCGGGGGCCCGGATGGGGTCCAAACTGGGGGCTGACTGAGACTGAAGGTGGGGGCAGACCTTGGCAACCAAGTTGAGCTGGGCCATGCTGGGCTGGGCTAGGCTGGGGCTGGGCAGCAGGGGGCTACCCTGCAGGCTCCTCCATATGGAACACGTTAGCCTAGCGATTGCTAATGAAATGCAGGCTGACGTCAGGCAGACACCCACCCATTGTTTTGCTGCTTAATTTGTTATAATATTTGTCTTACAAATGAGGATTTTGCCAGGACAGAGGAAGAATGAGAGGCTACAGCTGCAGATGAACAAAGGTGGGCAAAGGGCATTACAGTAAGAGCCCGACGTTTAAGCACCAAATGGGGTTTGAGCATTTGCTCAAACGGTAGAGAAAAGCTATGGGACTTAGCATAAGTGCTAACACAAGAAGAGCCTGGGCCTCAACTGTCTAAGTGGGAGGTATAGTGACCGGAGGACTAGCATGGGTGGGTGCGCTGGAAAGGGAGGAACTGCTCAGAGGCTCGGAGTATGTGTTAATTGCATATGGAAGTTTTTAGCGTAAACAAACACTTCTGCATTACTCAAAACTATTTGTTTAAGGAATGCATCATTCAGGATACTCCTGCAGCTGCCTGCCTGTTTTATGCATCCTCATTTTCACTCTTTCAGCAAGTGTTATTTTTCATAATTATTTCTCCCCCCCTCTCTCCCTCTCTAGGTCTCTCTTCCTCTCCTCCTTTCCTTTGAGCCCATTCAACCAGTATCCAACATACAACTCTTCCTAAAATAGGCTCAGTGGAGCAAGTTTAAGAATGCTTTTGTTATTCCAAAAGGAGTTGTGCAGTAATTGACCACCACCTGGGCATCTGGCAGAAGTCACAGTGAGCTGGAGAGAAGGGGATGCAGAGGGAGAGGAAGGAGCAGTGGATGGAAAGAATGAAAGAAATGACAAAATGGAGGTGAACAAATGGAGACTGAGGGAAGAAAAGAAAGGAAGAGAGATTAATGGAAGTGAGGGGGTGAATGATGGAAAGTGTGTGTGTGCTATGCCCCTCTCTCTCTCTCTTTCTCTCTCTGTCTCTCGCTCTCCCACTCTGACATGTCAATTCGAAGGTGCTTTATTGGCATGAGTAATGATGGGAGGTGTTGCCAGGGTAATTACATAGCACATTAAAGGGTTTCATAAACATTACAGTTCCTCCTCTGCCCGGTGGCAAGGCTAAAGGGGCAGGGAGAGGGAAAAAACAGAATGAGAGAAATGGACACAGTGAGAGGGAGCAGAAGCAGCACAAAGGAGAGTAGAGGGGAGGATGGAAGAGTAAAGGGCACTTACTGGAGAGGAGGGGGAGGTGTGGGAGGAGTGTGGAAGAGATGAACAGAAAAGATGACAGGAGTAGAGGTTACCATGATCATGGATTCCATCGCTGAGCGCCTGAACATGAAACAGGGAAGAAAAAAAAAAAAACATGCTGGATCAGCGTCCAACACAAGCCACAGCTGCAATTCACATCACTATGTATGGACAGCACTGGATAACTCTCTCTCTCTCTCTCTCTCTCTCTCTCTCCCTCCCTCACTCACACACACGCACACTGCAGCAATGAAACACACCTACACAACTTTGTGCACACCCTTGTTGACACAATCTTTGCATGTACTCTCAACCATTCACACTTTGGCCACAAATCCCACACACTCAGCTGTGCACAGTCTGTCACTGAGGGTCATGACACTCTCACTCAACCAAACACACACAACCACAAGGACCATAATTAAACAAACATCTACCCAGTCGCTGAGCGTTGCGTATTTATGTACAACCTCATTGGTCGAAAGCAATTAACTTCTTCTTCTCTGCCAATCAGTGTCAGACAGCATGCAGTGCCACTCCTGCAGTCAAACTCTCATCACACAGGACTTTCTTCTGTTTACCCCGTAGTGTTCTAGAATTGAATCTTTAGCTTTGTGCATTCAGATTTCAAATCAAATATTCAGATAGTCCCTGTTGTTGTTGAAATTTATTTCTGTCATTGGTTTAATTTTATTGGGATGGTGAGAACTTCTTGGCTCCTGCGCGAGGTTCTGTCATGGTTTCCTGATGATGCTGATATACGATCCAGGTGCATGAAGATGGTGCCTTCCAAGTTCAATGTCTTTATGTTTTTGTTTTTTTGCATACCACTTCATCAATGCAAAGTGTTCAAACTTCAACAAGCGGTCTTGCCAGATGGCACAGAGGTGAAGATGAGTCAGTCTTGCTGCTGGATTGCATATGTTGTTGGATCTAAGGTCAGTATTATGCGCTTTGTTAATCTGAAAGCCACTGAATAACTTCCATAAATAAATCCTTTCAAGTATTAGTTAAGCTAAGAAGGCAAGTGTAGCCTGAAGAACACGACTGCCGGGGCACGATTCACTCTGCAAAACCAGGCTCTGTCCTAACAGTGACAAACTAGATTGCATGAATAATTACCCTGACATGAGTCCAAAGCAGCATCAAACCCTCCAACTTGAAAGTGTCAAAGTAAAGTTATTCCCAGGCTTCAGCTGGGCTATGTATAGAGACAACAGCTGCAGTGGATTCTGGGAGGGAGGAGAGTAAACTTTCATATTCACTGGATTAATCTTGCTAAGCGAGAGAAGGGAGCAGGCTGTGCACCACCAACATCGCCGCTAATAAAAACAATATTTTGCTTTTCTCTTCATCTCAACCACGGCTCACTATCGCACAAACGGCTCTCCGCTAATTAATTCCTGCTCTTACTTAGTTGCAGCTGTCGATTCTCTCATCTCGCAGACGCGGACAAGTGGCGAACAGGTTCTCATTTCAAAGCCCGGCACACTGTACACATTCCTTGACTTTGCATGGGCCCCCCTGTCATCAAAGGGCCTTTATTAAGTGTCTCATACATTTACACATTGGGGAACAGTTTAAACTTGGCCCATGATTAACAGAGTAGGGATATCTATCCCAGAAACCAATGTTAGGCTGACATCTTAACATCTGATGTGAAGTTTAAGGTCTATGCCTGCAGGTATTAATCAAAGCCACAAGCCTCTCTCTCCCTCCATAGATCCCACATATACACAGGCCTGCTCCTCTGGTCCCTCCTTCCATCCAAACATATACAGCCCATACCTTATAGACAAAGCTAATTGGACACAATCCAATGCACTTGACACATCTAAGAACTCTAAATTTGTGCAGTGTGTCACCAGAATGATGGATTGCATTTATACAGTTCAAAGTTTTCACAGTGTCTAACACTTTAGAGCACACAGCGGGGGGATGATATCGCTTGCCTGCCAACTTGTCTTTGACTGCATCCAAACCAACGAATATCTCAACTCGACTCACACCTCTGCACACACACACACACACACACACACACACACACACACACACACACACACACACGACTGCCATAATGAGTCAACAACTGGCCCGCGGCTCAGAGCGCTCCAAGCTCTGCGTTAAGGTTCCACTCCAGTCACCCATAACATAGAGTCCACCATACCATGCCTCTCCTCCACGATGACCTTGGGGTCAGGCCAGAATGCCCTCATATAATGAGAGTGCTGTTTGGGGATTTGTTGGACTGTGATAGAGAAAGGGCAAGCACGCGCAATGCACCCTGGGTCTTTGTCTGGGTGCTGACGGTATTGACGAGCGCTGATCGATGTTAATTGCTAGACAGAATGGCCATATTGACCAGGCTCCCTGGATGAAGAAGCCTGCAGGCCCAGTCAAAGAGAGAGAGAGAGAGAGAGAGAGATACACAGAGAGAAAGCTACTGGGCCCAGACCTACAGCAGCTACAGGGCCCCAGACACACACACACACACACACACACGGGTCTCATTCACTTTAATGAGTCGAGAGAGGAGCACAAAGGCATAACGTCCATCAATGCCAAGTCTATTCAACACAACAGAGGGTATATGCAAAAAAAATAGGTGTCCTGGTGTGTGTGTCTTTGTGTGTGTGTTTGTGCACATGTGAGTGCATACACATGTGCATTTATGAATAATGTGTGTGGCAAAGTTGGTCTGCATGGAAGTACAATGGTTTTTTGAGTGTGGAGAAACGGGAAGGGGACATCCATGTATGTGAGGATGTGTGTACACACAAGTTTGTGTGTGTGTGTGTGTGTGTGTGTGTGTGTGTGTGTGTGTGTGTGTGTGTGTGTGTGTGTGTCTTAGCTAAGGATCAATAGACAGGAGCTGCAGAGGCAAAGACATGGGCAATCAATATGCTGGCTGCAAACAGAGGGAGGGACAGAGTGAGCAGATAAAAAACAGCCGGGGAGATTAAAGAGACAGATAGGGAGGAGAGAAAATGAATGAGAAAGAGTGATGTGACAGAAGGACAGAGAGAGGAAGAAAAGGCCTGGTTGGTTTTAAATCTTTTTTTTTTTTTTTTTTTACTTTATGCTTTTTGGATGAAGTACGTGAAAAGACTGTCAATTCCAAACCCAGGTAACATCTTGGTCGCATGAAATCCCACCTTCCTGAAATAGTCAAACATCTTCTGTCACCAACTCCACAGAAGGCGCAAGCTGTAAGTCATTTCTAAGACTCGCTTCAGGTACAGCTTTGCTTGGCAAAGAACCAATCATAGTTACAATTGAGGTTTGAATGTTTGAGCAACAACATGTTATTATAACTGTCTATGATTCCAGATGTGAATGGGGCTCAATTTAATTTTGTCCTTTATTTTCTTTTTGTATTTCAACCGAAACATGTTCATACTGCTGAGCCAGATACACTACATCTTGTGTCCCAGAAGAATCTTAGTGTAACATAAATTTTACAGATTTATAATGGGAGTAAGATTATCTCCGCACCAGGATCCTTTTGGAAAATCGACTACTATCTACAAATCTACTACTACTGTTAAAGCAGGCTTTTGTGAGCAGTAGGTGAATTGAGTTGGGCTCTTGTGCCTGTTATTTTCTACTCCACCATTGTACCAAGATGTGCTACAGTCCCTGTTCTGAACCCTTCCATCTGGGCTTAAGAGTACCAGACGGGCCCATACCTCACCACCAGAATGTGGTTCAAATCCCTCTCCACAACATTTACACTCGTGTCCCATGCAGCAGTGCGGTGAGCGGCGAAAAAAGCACCCAGACACAGGTGCAAAGACAGAGAGAGCCAGTAGTAGGAAAGAAGGCCAGAGGCTTGTCTATGGAGCATGACTGGAAAGGCATTCAACCACAGTACCCCTACCCAGCCCAGCTCAACCCTGTCCAGTTGCAGAAGTCTGTCTCTTTGTGTGTGTGTATGTGTGTGTGTGTGTGTGTGTGTGTGTGAGATATTTGAAAGTACAATGTTGAAAAGAATAAGCCTACACTTTGAGCCAAGATAACTGTCCCTGATGTATGAGGCCAACCCCCTCCCACCTCTATTACATACACACGTACAAATTTACTCTCTTTCCCTTTCTTCTCTCTCTCCCTCTCTCCCTCTGTGTGTGCACGCTTCTGTGTGTGTGTGTGTGTGTGTGTGTGTGTGTGTGTGTGTGCGTGTGCGTGTTGGTGTGTGTGTATGTGAGTGAATGAAAGGTATGGCAGGAGTGTTGTGTTGGCTTGGCTGACCGTCTGCGGTTGTGCGGCGGTGAGAGGGAGTTTTGGGAGCGCAGAGCGGGCGTTGCTGCCGAAATCCCTGAGAAATGTTCGTTTTGGATCCGTGTCCGTGCTTACATACCGCCCTCCCGACTGTCTCTCATTCTCCGTTTCATTTTTCCCTCTTAAGGTTTAACTTAAAAGTTATGAAATGGGGAGTCAAAATACATCACTTGAAAGCGCGGCGGCTCTGAAGGGTGTGTGTGTGCGCGCCCGTGTGTGCACTGCCCTCCACCCTCCATCCTGAGTGCGGGGCCACTGAGGCTGCAGTGGTGAGGTTATCTTCAGGGGAGATAATGGATGGCAAGGAGTTCGCTTGGGTTTTTTTTAAGACAGATGTTCACTTGACTAAGGCAGGTGTCTTTGTTTTTATGAAGAAAGTTTTTGCCACTTTCTCTTTCTGCCAGAGACACGTTCAAGAGCCCAACTCATTTCTTCTGAAATGCACTTTAAAGTCGTATTTTCTGGAAAGGAATTAATTCCTCCCGACAGCATGACATCATTTAAATTGTTTCCAATGTATTTTACTTGTTTCAGGAATTCCCACAAACAAATATCAGTAAATAACGCAGACTAATAGTCCAAAAGAAAATTGCCTGAATCGGGGAAATAATAGAGACAAGTTAGTTTGCATTGTAAACAAGTGAATTTATATCACCTCATTAGCAGATGTTTTTCACATAGAACGGAACACTTGTTAAAATTGATATTTTTGCAGTGTAAGTTGGGTCGCCATCGCATTGCGACTGACTAATCCCATTTTGATCCAATAAGTGTGCATGTGCGTGTGTGCGAGGCAGTGAGAGAGAGAGAGAGAGAGAGAGAGAGAGAGAGAGAGAGGGGAGAGAGAGAGAGGTGGGAGGGAGTGAGGAGAGGAGAGGAGAGGAGGGAGGGA